TTTTTAAGTCCTTGTATTCAAGTAAACCCAGTTTGGTGAGTATTATGTTTTAAATTAATCTTTTAAATTAATTTGAAATGAAATGCCTGTGTACAGGATGGCTCCATACTGCAATATTTGGCTGCAGAAACCCACAAGTGTTACTGAATTAATTAGAAAGTACACCATGTCAAAAACAAGTTGATATATACTCTCGAGGACCTTCACCCAGTGACATGTTCACTGGTTGGTGAAAAGGCTTTCACTGTAGCTTTCATTCAGATGTTTGAGGATGTTTAATCTAATATAATCCCCCATCAAGAGTTTTGTGTATGTGACAACTCAGAAAAAATCATGTTGAAGGCCTCTTTTAACATAAGTAAACCTGCCATATCATACATGCAGGCTCAGTTGCATTGTTATAATCATCTGAGACACTGCGTGTGGCATATTGAGGTGTGCTTTTTTATTCATTCTGGATCAGCAGATGTGAATAAGACGATGAATAAGAGATGAATACTAATGTGCTGCTGCAATAACGGCATGTGTCAAAGGTGAAAAGCAACAAGGTGAAAAGAGGAGTGACCAACAAGTGTTTCAATCTGCCTGACAGCTGTGTTGGAAAAACTGTCCTCATTTCCACTCTCCACTTGTGTCTTATTTCTATGATATACACAATTACCATACTAACTACTGGGGCTAGAATACTGATTCACACAGTCTGCTATACGTTTCTCAAAGTTGGGAACCAAATATCAGATTAATAACACCATCATAAGCACCTTAACTTGCTTCCAGGTAGCTTAGCTGACTGCGTGATGCTGGGGTGGCTTGATGTTTTTATGGTGAAAAATGTCAAGAGCTCTAAGTTGTTGAGTTAGACAAGCAAACAACTTTTAAAATGAGTTCAAATCAGGGCTATGCTAACTTAGTTCATAGTAAAGTAAAACCGATAGCTGGACTCAAGTAACAGACACATTGTCAACTCTTACCAGTTAGTCCAACTTACTTTTCTCCAAGCAAACTCCTTTTTAGTCCTGTCTCTGTATAAATATTAAGTAGTATCATAGAGCTCTTGGTGCACATAGATGGATCAAAGTGGGGGTGGCACCTCTGTGGCCTGCAGCAGACAGGTTGAGAAGAGAGTGAGGATAAATCCACTTTTTAATCTCAAAAGTTTAAGAAATAAACTAAATCTCTCCTTTTGCCAGTAAACGTTTTCATGTCACATCATTGGTGTTGCTCGGTTTTATGCGTCTATTTGCACTATTATCTATTATCTATTGTACTGACTTTGTATGTAATGTAATCTACATACATGTGTTGGTGGAAATGCAGCATTAGACTGTACAACAGCCATACATCTCAAAGCACAGGCACAACAATATGCAGCCACATGAGGATACATACACATTTTCACATGTATTACAATAAATTAAGTTCCTTACATTAATTAATGTAGTTTCCCATTTGTGTAACTGCCACTGCAGGAGCATAGGAGAAACTATACAACTTGTACTACACAACCATCACATTCATTGGAACGGCACCACCACCAGTGGCAGGAATTCAAACGTATGCACTGTAGCTGCAAGGCTGCTGCAATCTGCACTGCGTGGCTAATTACTGCTAATGGACTAAAAGAAAACAGCCAAGCTAATTTCCAACCCCAGTGTCTTGATGGGCATTGATAGTTCAAGCAATCATTAAAATGACATCACATCGCATACTGTATATACGGGCCAAACAATAATACTAAACTACTTCTGCTGACTGAACAGCCAATGACCTAACAATCAATTTAAAGAAATGTGTCTTCACCAGTCATTGATGTTAATGTCTATCACAGTGTCATTGTTCACCACTTAAACACTACAGCTTCCACTCTTGGTCGTTTTAATGAAACAACAATTAAATATGTATTAACGCCCTACAACTACGCCTTTAGGTTGAGAGCTACTACAGTGATCTTTGTATCTGGCAGCGCTTAGAATATAGCCAAACCCTCTGAAATGCTTTGTGTTTTTGTGATTTAGTAGGAGAAACAGAGAAGAGAATCAGTGATTGTTGAGATTGGTTTTGTAAATGTTCAGCGTATGAAACAGTTCAAAACAGAATGATGTGACTCTTAACACCAAGGCTTATTTGGAAACAACTACTGCCACTGCTGTAGCAAAAAGGAGATAACCCAGAGCAGTCTACAGGAAAATTACCACATCTACTTTCCAAATGTGACAGAGTGATTGTAACTGAAAGACAGAAAGAACAACAAACAGCGAGGTGGGGAGAGAGACAGAGAAAGTGGGATAGTGATTGGTGATGGGAAGAGTGTTATTTAGCTGTCTCCCAAACTGAAGAAAGCCCTGCCAGACATACACACACACACACACGCAAAAACCTCAAAGCACCTGCCAAAGCATGGAAGAGGAGAAATGTGACTAATTACATCTCTTTCCAAGCCATTGAAAGAGTAAATACCAAAGAAGAGACATGCATATTCATAGCGGGGCACAGTGGGATTGACTTGGCTGTTGAAAATCATCCAGAGTGAGACTGTGAAGTGGGGAGAGAGGAAGCTTTTGACACAGCAAATTGATGATTATTAGACAGACAGACGCATGGACCAACAGACAGATTCAGAGACGCAGCGTGAACACTGCACGGCAAGTCTTCTGAAGGCCACCTGCTGCCTTCTAACAGATGATGATGCACTTTTAACATCACACATCAGCTTTTGATTTCATTTAATAGACTATGAAGTCATGAAACATTGGCACCATAATTAGCATACCAATGTATTTTTTAATATAATTTAAATAATGGAAGCAGTGAAATTGAAACTGTGCGCTTACCCTGCTGTTAAATAACATGAAGATGGACATCTTGAGCATTTCATTATTATCGATTCTGGGCTTGGGCCCTCAATTAGTGGGCTACGTTACAAATTTCATATTGTAAACTATGTAAAAACAAAATGAATTTTAGTACATGTAATAAGCAGTTCTTAAATTGCGCTTGATTTTCTAACGTTAGTGCTTAAATTCAGTGTCAGAGAGGTTGCACAGTATTTGATTACATTTGCCATGAATCTGTTTGGCTCACAGGTGCCAACTTATAGGTCAGTACCACCGGTAGCCTTTACAGCAGACAATTTTGACCTGGCAGAGCAGGAAAACCCCTGGTGTTCTGTTCTATCTAAGTGCCAGAAACCAGCATGAACAGTACTGGGACCTTGAAACCGAAGCTGCTAAATGGAATTCAGCCATCATTAGTTTTGTGCTTTTGCTACTGTGACATGTCAAAATGTCTTCTGTGAAAAAGGCCTGCTTGAGAGAGAAATGCCTGAAGGAAGAAATGTCATGAACAGATTACAGTAAGCCCTCTGTATTGTGATGTATTGTGTGAAGTGAAATGAGTCACAAAGAATAAAGAGGGTTAATAGTTAAACTGAAAACGCCAATTACAGAAGCCTAAATTCTCTTTTTATCCGGACAATATATTGTAGCACAGAAACAATTGCACTTGTTAATTGGGAAAAATACTCAACCAGGTATATTTAAAGCTGCAGCAGTTTTTTGCACGAAAAATAAAGTTTTGTCATATTCGCTGAAACTTTCACTATATCCTGACAGTAGCACATGAGACAGATAATCTGTGAAAAAATCAGGTAGTAGAAGTGCTCCGAATGGCATTTGCCAGAATCCACCTCGTAAATGAACAAAACAACCAATCAGAGCCGAGAAAGATAAAAACACACTTTCTGGTGACGATATAAGGCAGTACTGCATGACGTGAGGCAAACACGTGAAAAAGTTATAAAAGTATTGATTATATGGCAATTTAATTTGGATTAAGTTTAGCAATTATGTAACAATGTTGTTTCTCTTGCATTTCTGTATATAGATTACATATGTATTGATCATGAAAATAAGGCTCAACACCCATCATCTACATTACTTTTACTGTAACCCTCTTTTCTTGACAGCCTATGAGTAATGAAAACAGAGAAAATGATCAATGGCATCTATGCATATTGTTAAAAATAAATCTCGTATAACACAGCGGGAAGGAGTAATAATGAAAACCAGTGCAAGGAAACAATCTGTACATGGCAGGTTTGGACAGCAGGTTGTTTATGGTGACTGCAGACTGGGTGACAGTTTCTACTGATAGCTCCCAAACCTACTAAAACATGCCCTTGGGCAGGCTTCGAAACTTATATACACTAACTGAGCTTCCACTGAAAATGACAGGAGCTGAGCTGAGAAAACAACCTATTTTCTTGCCCCTGTGATAATACCACCGCACATGTACATAGCTGCAGTCTCTTCTGCAATCAACCAGAGAACAGAGATCCATTTGAAATTTGGTTAAATGACTGTTCTTTTCAGGCAAGAGGACCACACTCAATAGACACAGCCAGCTGATGAGCTATTGTCTTTGCACATGTCATTTCTATCGGCCTCAGCCATGAGAAGACATTTATTAGTGTCAGCAATGTGAAATGATGCTACACAGGCCGTGCTGCAGATGAGTGTTTTAATAGCTTGCGTTCTGATGTATATATTTGAGCTTGAATTAGAACTGTCATTTTAGCTTCATAGACATAACTAAAAATTATGGTAAACGTTTAAAATTTTATGTCCACTAAAGGAACATTTAGTTGCAATTTGTAAAATAGATGCCTTTCCATCCAACAGCAAGGAGCTGCTTAGGCTACAATTATTGTTGCTTTTAAGGAAATGTAATCTTAGACACCCTGATGTGCTGAAAATGTTTGGTTATAATCTTGTGAGAAATGGTATGATGAATACAAATGCTATGCTAAGAATTCCAAATTTCTTTAATATATCATAAAAAAAAAATTATGTTCAAAGGCTATAAATGCAGCTCCACATTCTCAACATTTCTACTTTCAGCTTTACAAAAATAACATGTGAAAGCATGCAGAACCAGCCTGTAAAAAAACACTTTATTCTGAAAATGAAGACCTCACCATGTGTTTCTCCTTTTTTTTCCAGGCTTGCAAGATGTCCTGCCAGAGTTCCTGCGTGGGCGTTTTGTGGAGGCAGCCCTCAGCTATGTGGCGTGCAACTCGGAGGGCGAGTTGCTCTGCCGCAACAACGACTGCTGGTGCCGGTGCTCAGCCCGCTTCCCAGAATGCAACTGTCCCTTCGCTGACATCAAGGTCATGGAGGAGAACCTGGAGAAGAGCAAAGAGGGCTGGAGCAGCTTCAACCAAGAGTTCATGGAATCAGGTACGGGCTGGATTGCTTAATATGAAAGTCGTGCTGGGGTTGAGGTGGAAACTGCTTAAAATGAGGTTGTGTTGAATATGGTTTAGTGTATTAAACAGTGGCTAAGATCAAAAAAGCTTCATTCTGATTAATGTGTAGGTTGATATGTTGTGCTGAATGAAGTTTAAGTTTGGCTTTAAGGCCTGGAGTAACTTATATCCAATCATGCACTGTATGAGTTGGCATGGCTATTGTGGAACTAAAATATAATACATACATTAATAATGTATAACAATAACAATAATGTGGTCATATTAAACATATAATTTGCAATTTCCACCGCTAGGGGTTCTATCACATCAAAACAATAATAAAAGATAACGTGTGGTGATGTCGTCAAGTACGTGGGATTGTGGGAGTTTTTTCTTCACCACCATTGCTGTAATTGCAGTCATCTTCTCCTGGTTAGGATTCCTTCTGTGTTCATTGTTCAAGAAGTTTCTATCTGGAGCCAAAATCCGTTGGGGTCTCTTCATCTCAGAATGAAATGTGTGTGTCTCTCAGACACTGTTCGGCACACAAAGGACTTCCCGGTGGGGCTGCGAGCCGAGCTGCTGCTATCGTTAGCTCAGCTTGTTACTCTGGTAGCCTAAGATTCAGACATCCGATGACTAAAACGCTTTATCTGGTTAAAATATATAGTTAGAAATGACCATGATCTAAAAAGTGTAAGACAAAAAATTAGGTTTAAAAGTGGATAAAAACAGACGGCTTCTGGCAGACAACAACAAAGCCTGCGCAAAGGATATATGACGTCATTGACAGGCGACCGGTACAACGCACCGTTACCTGAATAAAATGACAGACGTTTCAGAGTTTGAACATTGTTGGAAAAGATTGGGGGGATTTTCCATCCTGCCTACCTCCCGCTCACTTCCCCTATTGTCCCGCTCTTTGCCTTTGCTGTATCTGCTGAAGCCTTGCTAAGCTAAGCTCTCTTTTCAAAAATGCTTTACATGTTAGATCATTTAAAAAAAGATATTTCAGGCCATGCAAATCAAAATCAAGCTGTTACGGGCCTGTGTGTATATATATGTATATGTAATATATATATGTGTGGTGTGTGTATATATGTATATGTAATATGATATATATATATCAGTGTATATGTGTGTATATATATAATATACTATATTATATGTATATTATGCATGCCGTTTAGGAGATTAACCCATCTTTGAATATATTGAATGAATCTTTGAGATATATCTCGAATGCAATTCTTGAATAGTATGGAATTGAACCCTTGGAATATATTGAATGAACCTTGAATATATTCGAAGAACGCTTGAATAATATTGAATGAACTTGAATATATTCGCAACAAGATGTTCTCATTAAGTATGGTGTTTCTTCTTAGCTTCTAATCCATTTTTCCACAGTTTCATTTTTCGATATTACCCACACTGTTACATCCAAAGTAACATACTCCCTAAGTTACCAATAAGTAACGCGTAACATACATGTACCTGCCTCCTAAAAATTTAAAAATGCAATTGCTGAATTAATAACCCTCAGTTGCTCTTTGAGTCTTGCCCAATTTAAATTAGTTTGAACTTAAAGAAGATCGGCAATTTCGACCTCGTAATCTTACTCTTACTTCAAGACCTTACAATAACCACATTTTTACCAATACCAGTTTACGAAAAAAAAATGCTGCACCATATATATGTCTTACTAGTCTTCTACAGTTGGATCTGACTAAATGAAACTTGGTAACACTTAACCCTAATTACACACCAAAAGGTACCTTAATACATCACCAACACGCTTTATGCAAATCCCGCCTAAAATGCTGGCACGCCGTAATACCTCCTGCAGGCAACCTGGTTCTGCGGAAGAAGCTATCCACACCCAACCCTTTCAAATTCCAACACCACATTGTCGGCTCCTAAAGAAAAGTCAGAGGAGGAGCGGGCTAACTCAGATACAGTGCCCGGCCCTGGTCCCAACCCTGTCCTCCCTGTCAACGCCTAGCATATACCATCACACATCCATACTGTGTACTCAATGTACTCATCACCACTACCATACCTCGCTTCTGAGTATTCAGAACTTTATTCATACCTAA